TCGCCTCTTCCGTCCAGCCTCTAGTGCCATAAGGAGCGGATTTCCTAACTCTTATTAGGAGTGCATTAATTTTTTTTGTGATCTTATGCCTGCATTAGCTAACTTGCATAGAGGATGCAAAGTTTTTGCAGGTAAAAAAGGAAAGTTATTGGAATCTGATGACAGAAAAATACTAATCTCCAGCTGATTCCACACAAATTATCTTGACACGTCTTTATCCAACATTTCAAAAGACTTTGCTGCATGCCCGCCTGTTCAGCCTCCCCCTAATTGGGCAATACTTGCTGCATAGTCAGGAACTTTCAAAGCACGTCAAATAAGTGAAAGCGACACTAGAGTAAAACAGGGGTAAGGGTAGGCACCTTACGCCTAGTGTACTCGGAATGCCGATAGTAATGACTTCAGGCCGGAGGTCAGGATCACTTTGTTGTGGACACACTAGCAGAAGCAGTCATTAAATGAACAACTTGCGTGCAATTCATCACATCCCTTTGGCTCAATGTGCCACATTACCAAACCAGCTAAATCTACTCTTACAAATACCGTTTTCCAACGCATGCAATGTCATTAAACATATTCCATCTTAAGCACAATAGCGAGTAAAGCATCGCTAACATGATTTTGAATAAATTTCACTTTCTGAAGCAAAGTTTGCTGTAATAAATAACTTCAGGTACGCCCCTCCTTCAGTTCACCTTCTGCTGTGTTGTTCACTAATCACAAGCAAGTACAATCGGTGGGGTGTTCCCATTTACTCGAAACGCATTATCGCTAATGTGAGAGTTGATTGTTCATAAAGGGGAAAAGTGGCTTAAACTGTCGAAGAATGTAGCAATTTTTCCTGATGACATGACAATCGACAACTAAACACATTACTCCCATTGTTTTGTCTTGCGTGCTATGGAATAATAGGGATCGGTCCAACTTTCCGTTACCTGGCTCGGGTGCCATACGATTCGCCACTTGTTCTGAATTGATGATAACTTGGTTGCGCATGCTAATTAAGCTCTTTATTTGGGAGGCAAACTAAGCACTACTGACGTACTTCAGATAGACCAAATACTAATAAGCATCTGATGCATGGGACCAAATAAATAGGCGATGTTTTCAACATCTGCTTCCCTTCTCTCTCTCCCTCCCTCCCTGCTACCTCTAGAAGTGATTCCAATGAATGTAATGTTTGTAAAATGCAAAATGTATGACTACTAGGTCCACCTGTAAGCACCAGATGGGCTTAAACACGTGTCGACAGTCCATGCAGTCTTGCATAATACTGCGCAGGTTGGCTTTGTCTTGATCATTACTCAGACAGTGAAACTACCTGCAACCCACACGTATATATCACTGTCGTGAAGATAAACTCACCCTTATCCATGTGATTGACAAAGATCTAGCATCAAAATTTTGAGCTATCATCCAACCTCCACAATACAAAAGAATTTGAACATTTTAATTCAAATTTATCAGATTCGAACTACGATGAGGATAAGTCAGATGAACACACTGCTGATCACACTAGGCTGTTTCTTCAATTTTCAATTTTGGTAGGCGG